CAGTTTCAGCAGCGGCTGAATCTGGACGCCAGTTCCGACTTACATACAGATTCAACTTAAGAACAAACCTACAGTCCCTATCTTGTACGTAACCCGGGGACTGCCTGTAGTGGTCAAAGGGAAGTTTCCACATGGACATCTCCATGTACGTATTTGTTATGTATATATTAGATTTATATACTGACAATAGTTTAGAAGCATTTGAGCTAATAGTTTTGTTCATGAATGGGAATACTATGAATGAGGTCATGCCAAACAAGGGCCACTACAAATTTACTCCATCACAACCATGTATTGCAAATAGATTTTATAAAAATGCTGATTGGCACAATTTTTTTATATTCCTGAACCTTGAGTACCTAAATAGGATTCTGCCTTGGTTTTCCAGACATGAAGAAGAGCTTTGTGTGAACTTGAAAGTTTGTCTCTCTCATCAACAGAAGCTAGTCCACTAAAAGATATTACCTCACCCTTCTAGTCAAACTAGGGTTATCATTTTTTTCCTGGCAGTTTGCAAAATATCAGAGATTGAAACTGCCCCTGATCGAGAACTAATATAGCAAATGAAACTTTCAATTTTTGTTTCTATCTGATCATGGGCAGTGGTTGAATTGAGCGCTTAGAGAAACTAGCCCCTGATCCAACCTGCCCCTTCTGTCGGAGGCTTTGTCCCAAACCGGAGTTGCTATGCGGCCACTTGCCCCCCATCCAACCCCAGACCGTGTGCCTCAGAATATCGGGCAAGCAGGGTACATCCCTCCCGCCCACCCTCCCCATAGTGGCCAGAAGGAGAGCAGAGCAGCATGGCCTCCTCTCTCAGCCCTGGAGCGTCCAACAGGTGTGTGGGCATGTTTCTCCCCCCTTCCCCAGCATGCCAAGCAATGTGCTCCTCATCCCCAACCTCGGAGTCAGAGTGCCAGGCAGTTGGCACCCCACCAGCATGCTGGGCATCTCCCCAGCAACAGGCATCCGCTAATAGACTCAGTCCCTGCCTGAGAAGAGCTTGCCTCCTGCAGCACAGAACTGGGAAGCAGAAAGAGTCCTGGCATTAGCAGGGCCATGAAATGCTTTTTGGATAGGCTTAACCTTCCCCTGCTTTCATTACCCTCTGTCCATGTATCTGATCAACATATGGGACAAAGAGAAGACATTTCTGTGGTATCGTGGATTCTAATTAAAACTCAGTTTTTGGGAAATTACCACCGGGATTACTAACATTTCAGTGCAGTTTAGTGGAGCAATTCTCCTTACAAAGGTCAAAAGTTTGAAATAAATGCTATTTATTCTATGATTTGCAATCTTTTATATGACTGCAGACAAAAGAATTTATTCCACAGTGATTACAGCTATATAATACCAGTGAAAACTTATCTTCAAGATACATAAAAATATTTACAATTTAATAGCTCTTTATCTAAACATAGACACACACACATAATCACAAGAGGTACGTATTTTGCAAACATAAGCAAGAGTTACAGTACTATTATTTATTTTGCACCAACAATGGGCTCAGCACTTTACATCACACACAAATGAAGAGAAAAATGAACTCTTGCTCTGGAGAGTTCACTATCTAAACCCACAGTCCTGCAATGGGATCGGATTAGTTCAATGAGACTTTGTCTAGGCTTTAAGGATCAGGGCCTAACAGAGGAAATACTCCCCTTATGTTCCATGTACTCAGACTGGGCTTATAGTTCACAATTGTTATGGTAGTTAGCACATTAGCATAAACTAACTTTTAAGGATCATGTACATTTAAAAATTGGCCTAAGTTCCTACATGTCTATATTAAAATTGGGGAAGAGAGTTTTACTATAACCTATAACATCCTTCCTTTGTTCCTAAGGTGATACACATTTAAATGTTATTAAGATTAAATTACTGTAAAAGTGAGAATGCAATTCATATATATATGCCTTCTAAGATTTCAAGCCATCTACTTTTGAAGTAAATGGCAAAATTCTCACTTACTTCTTTGGGAGCAGGATTGACACCCAGGTTAATATTACTATGACATTTCATTTACTTTATTTACTGTTTTCCCCAAACAAATAAAAACAAAGTAAGAAAAGCATATAACAGCATATTTATTTGTCTAGCATTCCATCTACTTGCATGAAAAACAGGTCGAAATCTGACTGTCACAAAGGGAGACTTGTGAACACTGAAACAGTTGCATTCTATCCAGTGAAAGTGTGGGCAACAGGGAAGCATTCTTATCCCTTAGATCAAGTCTATTAAAAGAATGCTAAAATGAACAGAGTAAGCAGATATTCTGGAGAATTCAGAACTTAAAGTGATTAATTAGACCTTCTTTTGTCTTGAGCAGATTTACTAAGCTTTTTTCAACTTAGACACATTGTTTGTAATTACCAAAATCCCACCTCCATTGGCTGGCCTTAGTTACTTCATGCATGAACAGCAATCTGATTGAGCACCCTTGTTAGGATTTCATTCGTCATTGTAATTAGCCATAATCATAGCCTTCCTGGGTGCATGAGAATGTGCAAACGACCGATTCACAACCCCAACCTATTTGAATATGAATCTTCTCAGTAAGTACCAATAAAATAGTGGAAACAAAGCAGTTTCTCTAGGGAATTTTTGTAAAGCATCCCTGTCTCTAATTCTCTTCCCTTAAAATGTTCCCTTTTCACTATCTGGATTCTGTTTGCTAAAACAAGGGTTACTTAATGAAGACAATGGCTTATTATTTCTTTAAGTGGCACAGCAGGACCCAAGTATTACAGGCCCAGCTCTTTCAGTCTCTGCCAAGGACACAAGGAACAAAGGGGCAAGCAGTTATGTGAGGCAAATAGAACTCTCTGCTTAGGCTACACTAGTTTGTGAACACTGTCTTTAGAATAAGACCCAGGTCTCTGCTATTCTAGAACTCAAAGGAAGGGTCTTTTTCTCCTTCCTGTAAATGACTCACATTATAGAAAAACTCACAGCAGAAACAGCAGGGATTGAAAGCAAAAGGAAAGTGGAGGAGGGGTAACTTAACTGGTACAATCACAAGTACATTCATAGTGAGCCACCTAATGGTGACAAAGCGTTTTCTCCTTTTAATTTCTCAATTACGTTCCTGTGGGAGAACCTTGCAAATAGACACTGGAAGATATCCAAATTTGTCCTGTGCCAAAGCGGAGAGAATTAGGTGAGAAAACATGAATTTTGAAGAACATAGTCCTGGCACTAGTTCCTAGTTAAATTTTTAAATATGTTTAGCAACCTTTTGGATAAGATAATAAGTCTCAGAGGCACATTAAATGTCAGCTATAAAATATTACTCTTTAAATTGTCATGGGTCTCTGGGCTGAAGT